AAGATACATTTCAAAGTTTAATTATTTTAACATAAGACCGGCCACTCGCAAGCTACATCGTATGTCTGACTATACAACGCGAGATTCCCTAATGCCAGACGTTTGTTTCTTGCACACGGAGCGAAATGAAAATTATGCCCTGTAACTCACAGCTGTAGGTTTCGAAGATTGTTGAAGGTGATGAAATTCATCTCATGTTTTTACGCAGAAATTTCGGCGAAAATCTCTCATTCCTCGAAGAACTCGAGTATGGGAACAGCGAGAGGGAAATATTGGTTTAGTGCCGTATGAAGCGAACTAAGATGCTCATGAGATCATTCATAATAAGAAGAATGCTCGATGAAAATAGCATCAATGCTAACCCTTGGCGCATGATTTTCATGAATTTCATTTTTCACGATGAACCTTACTTTGGAGAGTGCGGATATGACACCTTCATGCGACCATGCTTATACTCGCGGAGTTGTTTGACGCGATAATTGTCCCACCCATAAATTGCACTGCCGTCGATTGTAGGTGTGTTTCCGTTCAAGACAGTTCGATGACCCAACGGGCAACCGTACAGGACGGCTGGGCGAGAACGCATCGGAGTTGTTTGACGCGATAATTGTCCCACCCATAAATTGCACTGCCGTCGATTGTAGGTGTGTTTCCGTTCAAGACAGTTCGATGACCCAACGGGCAACCGTACAGGACGGCTGGGCGAGAACGCACGAAGTTCTGGCAAGTACGTTGCCACTTGGAGTAGAAGTAGTCCTTTGGCGATATGTAAATTGGTAGGCAGTCATGGTGTTCCTTTCTTTTGCAGCATTCAACGCTTCTGCCCGCGTCTATGGCACAGAACTTTGTTATGCGATCATGACGTTCGTCATGTTTCAAACCAGAGTTACGTTTCGAACCATTTCCTGATTCCTCTCTCACTTTCCGAATTATTCGTTCTTTGAGGAATTGTTCTAACAATTTATCTTTTTATATTCCATGCTTGAAATTATACCTTGTAATCACTGACACAGCAAACAACCCAACAATTTTACTACATAAAATATTCAACAATAAAGATGAGAACATCTAACAGACAGATCTATTTGAAGACAAAATTTTCGAATTCAGTGCATATCAATACTTTTAGAATTACAAAATTACAAGTTCTATGCCAGAAAATCTGGATTTGCGAAGGTAATATTTAGCCTAATTGTATACCATTGGAAATTAAATACAGAATACGTCAAGTTGGAATTACAGTATCAAATTAGTAATTTATATCAAAATAATTAGAAGTCGGCAGTATAGGTTGAAAATAGAATAAAAACACGCATGGGAAAGCAAAGAAAAATTCAGGTGTATTCGAATACAGTACCAAAACTTATTTTATATCATTTCATGCATAATTTATCGCATAAAGTTTAAATTATAAATGCTGCGTTAAAAAACGTTTTCGGATTGACAGAGTCTTAAATTTGTAATTCAATATTAAATCACGAGGTGGGATAATAATGTGATTATCAGACTATTGTAGCACTATGTTTTACGTTTAAAACACGATCTCTGACTAAACACAGAGACTTACAAATTCGATGAGCATCGTCAAGGAAGTACAGTATTTGATAACGGTTTTCTCTTCGTATTGATATATCTGCTCTGGCATACAATAATATTGCTGACACGGTTAATTTAATTTCGAAGACAATTTTTTTTTCTACTTCATTTCGTCATCGCAGTCCTTCGTAAAATAGCCACAGAGATAAATCTAAACCTCAACTATCCACGAGTCAATCAACTGTCTCTTTAAACTAAACCACGTCAAATATCACACACCATCATATTCACAGGTAATTGCGCAATGCATCAAGCTTTCCTGATTCCAGAAATTATGCGCATTTTTTCTTTGTTCAAGTCAGGAATCTTTGTTCATGAAATATTTATTCTGTTCGGGTTCTTATCTGCACAAGTTACTTACACGGGAATTTATTTTCACGGTTTTACTCACCAAAAGACGACTTTGAGTCATTCGCACAGATACAAAATTGTATTCTAATTCAAAATTTAACTCACTTCTGATCCACCCTGTACATTAAAGGATCTGGCATGTTTTGAAGCAAGTGACAATGCATTTCTGATTTGGTAGTGACCGATTTTTTTTAGTATGAGAGGCTAAAAAGCAGAGTGTGTATGAATGAAAATCGATTGGGAATAATAATTACGGCAATTTGTTTATGCTTTCTTCAGATTGATTTGGACGATTCATTTTTGGGGGCTATTAAGCTCAGTCACTTGATAGTTTCGCATCTCAACTCATTAACATTGGGTCAGATTTATTCGATTAATTAGCCTTGATATAATCAGTGTTACATTACATCATTGAAATGTCAGCTTACGTCCATAATGAACCCCGTATAGAGCTGAGTTTCTTGCAAATTTTGAAGCGAGTTACAATTCGTCTTTGATTTTCCAGCGACCTGTTTTTTCAGTTCGATCATGAAAAATTGAGAGGTGTACAAGAAAAGCTGGGGTCTAACACCAGTGATCAGCGGATTGCTTCGGACGACTCACATTTAGGAGTATTAGTCTCCGTCAATTCATGGTTCAGCATCTGACCCCAGTGGTCATAGACGGTGTTTACGTAGCGTTCGTGGCGCACTGCGTAGCCGTGGTGCACCACGTTCGAGACCAATCGCGGAGACGGAAGCTCCTTACCGCGGTAACTAACCCGCGGAGCAGACAAGCCTGGAATTCGGAATCGCTGCAGCCACGGATAAGCCTCAATGCGATTCGAGAAGGGGTCCACTCACCGTCGGCGAAGTGGGGGACCACGAAACGCTTCATAGCTGTCCCAGCTCCATTCCAAGTCGGATGATGCGGGTTCATGCAGTAGCCGTCGTAACGCCTGTACTTGGAGTAGTAGCAGTAATTGCTTCCGGGCACGAAGGGTTTCGGACAGATGTGACGGACGTTGGTTTGCATCGTGTCGATCATAGGGAACACAGCCGCGGCCAGCTTCGTCGGGACGTAATGCCTGGAAAGGATACGGAAATCAATCATCAAATTCAGTCAGGCCTTTATTCTGCAGGACCAGAAAAGCTCACTTTTTTGCGAGGAGCAGCGTCGTGTCATGGAGAACGTCGCCTACATGGCCTACCAATTCAACGTAGTTATTCTTGTAGTTCGGTGCGCTATGAGACTTCATGGCAAGATCCAAAGCCTCGTTCACGTGTCCTGCCGTTATACAAATGCTGCACGAATTGGGTCAAATAAAAACAAAACTGAATGTGAGAGATGCTCTTTTCGACGTACCCTTTTTTTGGTAGCTGGAGCAAACATCTTGGAGTGTAATTCTCGTGAGTTCCTTGGTTTAGCGACAGCAATAGGAACACCAGAAGGGCACTGTAGAACGGCCGGGTGAATCCGATTTTGACGAAGCCACGATTGAATGGTTATTTAATTTTCTCACCGATTTGCCGTCGACTTTATCGATATGCTCGTCATCCTCTGGGAGAAACTTTCCCAAAAAACAGGGATTCTAGCACATGTGAACGTACCGATCCAGTCTGTAACGCACGATCTAACCGAATCGTATGTTTAGTCTCGGGATGTTGGCTCAAAATGAAAACTCGTAAAAAGGGATTGAGATTCAAAGAAGTTGAAACTTTTCTAAGTGCTCCACAACATGCGCCTGGAATTAACATTCAAGCATTAACGAAAATGTCCATTTGCCCACACGGCCTAATGATACCATTCAGCTCGGATGTGGCTGAGGCCCAGTACGAAGACATTCTGCTGACGGAGCATAAAGCCTTTGAAGTCCACTTGTGTTACAGTTTTTTTTTTAAATGTCCATTTGCCCACACGGCCTAATGATACCATTCAGCTCGGATGTGGCTGAGGCCCAGTACGAAGACATTCTGCTGACGGAGCATAAAGCCTTTGAAGTCCACTTGTGTTACAGTTTTTTTTTGTTCTTTGGCACTCGAGTGACTGATTCCACCGGGTGCCAGAGAATTGGAATGTGCTCGGTGAATTGGAATATAGTATCCAACATCGGCTGCGTGATCTTCATTCCAGACATTGCCAGATAACTGCATTAGCGATATTGCAATGCGCACGCCAATTTACCAGCAGCCCGTGATTCACCAGTCGCTGGGCAAAGCTTTGCCCACGCAGTCAAAATGACTAAGATACCGCAATTACATTCTTTGTCCTCATAAAAAGTTTATTGAGCGCATCTTCCACCAATAGAAATTTAATGCAAGCAACGAGCAGAAACCCAAACAATTTTTCATCCATATTCCAACCCACTGAAAATTATTTTTTAGTGCAAGGAAAACAATTTGGTTCGCTAGAAATGGTTGGAATTATTTTTGAGGATTGGATGAACATTTTGATTCTCTTTTTTTTGGATTCGTGGTCCTCAATTGCGAACTTCGACTTTTCAAATGATTTAAAGCCAGAACTGGATTTGATTATTGCACATACAGGTATAGCTAACGTGCATTATTCAATGCTCTTAGAGAAATATCGCACGAAGAGAGTCCTAACAATTTTCAAGCATTTAATTGCAGTTCGTTTTTTTCATCCTCATGCAACGAAACTTTTTCTGCATGCGCCAGCAACGTGGCTGAAAAAGTGGTCTGAACTTGCCATCTCCCGACACACACACAGAACACAGGAAACAAGTTGTACTTTTGGTTTAAAATATATTTAGATGTCGCTTCTCAAAAAACTGCGTCAAATTTAACGCGGTGGACGATAGTTCATGAATCATGGGTATTACCGTATTATGGGTACAGTATATGTATTGTAGGTTCATTATCATGGGTGTTACGGTTTGCATCCGGAAATTCACACCAATCCATTCCAGCATAAAAGTCCCTCAATGAGGTGGGGAATTAGATGGATTGTACGATCTGAGCCAGTGTTCCCCAACCTTTCTGTGCACGCGAACCAGCAAATTTCCATACAATATTCTGCGGACCGGGAAATTCCCGAGAAGAAAAATTGCGGACCAGCGAAGTTTTATAAAATTTCTTCAGACTCACAGAAGTTTCAGTGGTAAGAATTTGTGACGGGTATTCAAAAGTTTCTGCTTCTCTTTAAAAAATGAGTTAAGCACCAATAATGAAGCAGCTATTGCTGAATTTCATAAAAAAAAATTAGAAAGGTGGGCTTGAAGAAAGGTTTCAAAGATAATTTGATTGATGTATTAGAATAAAATGAGGAAAATTAAAAGTGAGTGAAAAATTAAAATAATGTACTTCAGCATATTAAAATATGTCTGAAATTTCATCAGGAGAATAGCCAACTTTTATTGTTCATTAGATAATTTCAACTTTTATTGTCTCTTCAAAATTTTAGGTAAAGATGACATAATTATCCCTACTCTTTGATGAGTTTATTATGCTGAAAATTTCCCGCGGACCGGAAAAAAAACTTCTGCGGACCGGCACCGGTCTGCGGACCACGCGTTGGGGAACCTTGATCCAAGCAACCGTATTCTCAACATAAAAAATCGAGTTTTCTGCAGCGCTGATCGTGTTGCGGAGAAGCAGTTAGTCAGCGTGGTTATTAACTTGAGTTTCACCGTATTTATGCGCTTTCTCGCTTGCCCAAACAACGACTGCCTTCCATCGACAGCAGTCCTTCTTCTCACACGAGCATATTCCTGAAAATTTTGGTTTCGTCATAAACTAAAAGTTGCTAATTGGGATTGGCATGCTGAAATACATGTATGTATCAGTAATTTATTAAATTGCTTTAATGAACCAAAAAAGCTGGAGCACATCGAATAGCGATTAGCTTGACACGTATCCGGCATTCGACCCTTACAGATCAAAAGTAAAAAAATCAATGAAATATATTGTTTTAAGATACAGTATTATGAACCAACATAGCTGGAACACCAGCATCGGATAACGATTAGCGAGACACGTACTAGGCGATTGCCGCTTACAGATCAGAAGTAGAAAAAATATAAAATAGATGTCGCTCCATGTTCAAAACAGGTGAACGATGCAGGAATTCATAGATTTTACGACTTTCGTTCGCTACCTATAGTGCAGCGATGCGCTAAATGGACGTTGATCATATTCCTCAGAATTTTAATTTTAAAAAATCTCGCGTTGGCAAACGCTCTTTTGACCAGCAAACATCCGACGTGAGAAGATCGGAAAAAATTCCTCAGAATTTTAATTTTAAAAAATCTCGCGTTGGCAAACGCTCTTTTGACCATCAGCAAACGTCCGACGTGAGAAGATCAGAAAAAATAAGAGCACGAGTTCTTCAACGTAGCTCAAGCAAAGCTTTATTCGAAAACTCGACTGAGCCTCAATAATAACGTCCGAAAATTTCGTTTGAAAAATCGAGGAAGCTGCGGAAGTAAGGAGAGGATATGAATGATCAGCTAGCTGATGAGAATAAATTCTTTCAAGATGGAACTCTGGATTGACACCAGCTGAAATAAGCAATCAACGCATGTATGATATAATGCTGTTCATCCGACAAACGTCAGGTGTTCCACCACCGTGTACGTGGCCAGTTTTTGGCGTGCGATTTTCTGAGGCACATCTGGAATCTACGCATATAAATTATTATGGAAGAAATAAAAAATAAAGTCTTCGTCAGCGTAACAATTTTCCAAAGAAGCAAGCCTCGGTACACACCAGCCATACGTTTACAGTTGTGACATTGATTCATCCGAAAAGTTCAAGTACTGTACTTCACCTTGAGCTGAAGCGTTGACCCGTTAAATGATTTTCATTACTTTATTGCTGTAAATAGTTCAACAGCATCTTGTACCGCGCTGCAAGTACGGCTTTGATGAGTTTTGTCTGATGGTTAATCATCGTCTTTCTACTCCGCCTCTGAATGTCAGTAGAATTGAATGCAGATAGCGACTCGTATTTTGTAATTATGCTTGATGAACGTGGAATGGGAGATAATACATTTACGACTCAGATAGCGGTGTAAAATACACTTGAGAAGCACGAACTCATTCCGCGGTTTTGTAGGCACTCTTTGTCGCTCCCTTGACGATACCTTATTTTTTTAATAGACTGTACGTTATTCAGAAAAATTCATTAATTACGTAAAAGTGTTTCAGCGGGGCGAACAAAAGTTATGTTTTACAAGTTTAAAAGGAAAAGACCCCAAATAGACTGAGGTGCAATACAGTACATGAAAAAAGTCAAAAACATCAAAGCAAACGATTCCCCTATCGTTTTGCTTTTATGATCAGTTCAGCGCATGTTCCGGGCCAGATTGAAGAATGCGGAACCTCCATATCTCGAATAATTATTCGTAAAAAAAATTATAAGAGGAAATCGCTGTTTATTGCAGAGGAACAGGAGGAACGGTCGATTGTGTTCAAATTGCCAATGATTGTTTTAAAATTGCGTTTTATTGAACAATATATTTCTTGTTGGTACAATTTTTGAGAAATTAAAAATGAACACATCAAATGTCAAGTTTTGGCGCATGCACTCGCACTTGTGACGACCACAAAAATCATAATAAAAACGTTTAGTAAAATTTCGGACCATTTCAAATTTTTTGAAGATATAACTTGATTGAGTCCACATTGAGCTTTTCATTATTGACAATTTTTCTACGGTATACATCGCAAGCAGAAAAGTTTCTCATTTTTGAAACTTACCTAGGTTTTTCTAAAATACGGTATGCCTGGTACACAGCATGCGTAACAGCGTTTGGTCGAGTCTAAATTGAGCTTTGCGGTGGATTATCGCTGCCCGAAAAAAAAAGGTTTTTTAAATTTCTCGACCAACGTTTTCAACATTGGCAACGGTTTCGTTGTACGGACCATACCATACCACTGTTGGCGAAATATTATTAGGGAGAGTACATCGGTACTTGGACACTTCTCGCGAGCGTGATGCATCATCGGGGCCTGGAATCAATGTCTTCAACGCTGGCTGGTGTTCGTCACAGTTTCCCGATCACCGAGAAACGAGTTGTGGGTGGTCGCGTTTCCGGATCCTCGGACAGCGAGTAAACGACATGCATTTACTTTTTCTCCACTTCCGCTGACGTCGACAAGACATGATTCGCGAACCAGCGACTCGCAACTTGAAGCTAGGCGAAGAACCGAAAAGTTTTCGACGCAAGCAAGGCCTGTGTAATAGAAAATACTGTACTGGAACTTCTCCTCCGGTGCGGTCCAAAGGGGCTTCCTGAGCTTGTAACGAGACTTGTATCTTACCTCGAAATACCGCTGCATTTCCTGGTACTCGTCAAGGCTGAAGCAGGGTAGGATCCAACTGGGGAAAAAATAAAGGAAAGCGGGGACATTTTCGGCCTCCGATAGTCGTGGCCATCGACGAATTACGACGGGTCGCGCTGAAAACGAGCAGGAAATTGGAGGGGAGTCCGAGTGCGCTGGAAGGTTCCCTCAGCTATTTATGGACGAAAATGACCCGTGACGCGATTCTCCGTGGCCTAAAATGCCCTTCATAAACTTCCCCTTTCATCAAATGTTCCGAACCTTCGAACAATGCACGCCACCCCTCGGCTACCGATGAATCATCGGGGCAGAACGCTGATAAAATTCGCGCAAACTTCCTCGCGTGCAAAGCTCCGTGCTGCGCTATAGCCTGCGATGGAGGTGGACATGAAGGGATGAGCGCCTGGTGCCAGGGAACTTTCTTGCCGATGTGACTGAGCGGGTAATCAGCGGGATTTCCGCAGT